GTAATCAAACTCTTCAAAAGTAGGGACAAATTTTATTAAGTTTGTAATAGCTTTCACTAATTACACATACACATAGGTTTCATTGTGATATTTTTACACACATCTAATATATTTTGATCTTATTCTCCCACATTCCCTTGTATTGCTTCCCTCCTACTCCTGCTAATGGCCTCCTCTTCCCACCTACTCCCCCCTCTCCCTTCATGCCTTAACAAAACACTTTTAAGTTATAGCAGGAAGGAAGGGAAACAAGAAGATCATTTTTGATGATGGCAGTGTTACCCAATATTTTAGTGTTTTCTATCAGTTGGTCTATTCTCCTAAAAAGTCTAAGAAGGGCCACATAAGACAAACACAGAGAAATCTACCTAGACAATAACTATACAGCACTGAAAGCCAAAAAGAAAGAAAAATCATAAAAGTAGCAATAAAAACAAGTGAAGCATAGAAACAAAATAGGAAAAAAAAAACCTATTCCTTATAGATAGAACAATCAGAAAATCAAGGCACTTCTCATCAGAAGACTTGTCCAAAATACTAAGATTAATAACAGTCTACCAAGAATTTATACATCTAGTGAAATTATCCATTCAATATGTAAAAACCGTAAGCAGATTTGTCCTTTTAAGTGTTGGGATTTGAGAGCTTCAGTAGTAATTTTTCTGTGGGTCCTGCAAGTCCAGTCAAACAGTTCAGGCAAGAGCAGTTTCTTGCCCAAAAGGCTAACAAACTCCATGAAAAGCCTCTTAGATGCCCACCATCCTTTTGAAGTAGATTGGTGCTGCTACTTTTGAAGAGTTTGATTACCTGTTATGGGTCTCAATGACCCAACTTCTCAGAAATCTTAGTTGGTATATAGAAATCTTATACCGATTCTGTAATATAGTTAACTCATTTTAAGCATATCCTATCCATTGGCTTTGTAGTTAGGTGCCTTGCATTATTTAAAACCGACCCCACCACAACACCAACACAAAGCTTTGTATAATGAGATGTGTCTATTGTCATGAAAAGTCCAAAGTTCTTAAAACATTTTAAATGCCATATTCTGAAGGTCTCTGAAAGATTTGAAGAATACCTATCTATCTGAAATATATCTCTATGCATCTAGTAAACCTAACTAATATGACTTCAAGCTTGACTATTATAGATGGCTATCTATTAACCTGTGTTTCTTAATTACACATTACATTTTTTTAAATGAACTGCACAAGCACAATACTTTCAAGAGCAGAAATATACATATAATAAGACTGACTTAAAATTTGTATCAATAGACCAAGATCCATACCAATGCAAATTATTCATATCTTTATCATATTCCCCCTTTTAATATAAACAAATATTTGTAAACAATGATTTAGGGAATTTGGGCACAGTTTTCTCTTAACTGCTTCCTGCTTTTGTAATTTTTGGGGGGTGTTCACAGTGACTTTTCAGGGGGTCTTGGTCCTCAAACCATATTAGTCTAGAAGGATTCCACAGGTTCTTATTCTCTGTGGAAACAAAAGAAGAACCTCTTTTCCAAAGCAACAAATGTTTAGACCCAAATTCTAAAATAATACTTTTAAAATACATATGTTGGTTTAGCTTAGCAGCCCAGATAATAAAATGTCTCTTTGTACTTATCTCACTCACGGCCAAAAAATTTAAAGAAAACACAATAATATACATAATTCAGACTCTCTGTGTATATTCCATCTTTACGTGGCTTATTTTTCTTACTTTATTACTTTTTCTACATATTTAGTATTTATTTTATTATCTTTACTCCTTTAATCTATGTCTGTACTCTTTTATATTACATTTACTGTCTCTTTACTCTTTTTCTTCGCTCTCTCAAGCCTATGTACTATTTTTAAACACACTGTGTCTCATTTAGAGGTCTTTTACGTCTGAATCTGTCCTGTTGTATATCTGCAATCTTTTTCTATCCAGGAGGACTTCTTACAATGCAAAGCAGCTTGGCTAGGTCTAAGATTGCCTTGCCTTTTGGCTCCACTCAGTCCAACTGAGCAGAGGTCCATTCACTGCCTCTAAGACTTCCAGGTAGGAGCCATGCTTACCACCTCAACTCTGGTAACCAGTTGGCCCATGATGCCACCAAGTAACTTGGAGCACACTGCCCACAAACCTTATTCAAGTGCTTGTCCTCCTGAAAGAGCCAGAGTTCATGCTGGTAGCACAGCCCAGGAAGCTGCCATTTTGAAACCTCATGGTTTTTTGGTTTTGCTTGTTTGTTTGTCTGTCTGTCTGTCTGTCTGTTTTATACAATAGCTGATTCAGGAAGACCTCTCTTAAAGGAATCATGCCTCTGCTTGCTTCTCACAAACAGAGCCCACCTGAGAAAAATGCTGCTACCGAAAGCAATACTTAACTCTGTTTTTTGTATCTAAGATTCCTTTCCAAGCTTTCTCATGTTTTACATGGACTTAGTCAGCTCCACATTAGGTGTCAAATGTTTGTGTTTTTTTGAGTCAGGGTGATTGGGAAATGAACTAGCAGCCTCCGCCAGCAATGTTATAGTCACTTTTAAAGAAATTTTCTCAATTATAATTTTTAGAATTTGTACTATTCCATGCTTTTTTGGCTTTCCCTTCAAAGTCTTCTGTTTAATATACACAGACACACACACACACACACACACACACACTTTTTTTTGTATTTTCTTATTACTTGAATATCTTATTTTTAGAGTTATTTATTTAAATATTTTCCTCATTTAACCTTATAAATTTATCTCAATTTACATAGTTTCTGCTTTGTTCTGATTTCCTCTTATTCTTAGAGTGATTTCTGAAAATGACTTACCAAATTACATCCCCTATCTTTCACAAGTCTTTTTTTTGTTCAATGAACTCATTTACCAGCCTTTCCAACTTTTGTACAATTTCTATCATTTTTATTCATTCATCTCATTTTCAATAATAAAGTGGTAGCTTTCATTCATATGTGGATATATTACTACATAGCTTTCCTTGCTATATAAATGCTATTTTATTTTCTGGCCTTTTTCTCACTGTAACTTTTGCAGTTTGTTCTGCTGTATCATTTTCCTATTGCTTAGGCTTAAGTATGTTTTTATTCTTACCATGGAGGGCCTGCCAGGCTAGCTCCTCTGTAGACTTTGTTGTGTCTAGAGCCCCTGATTGGCTGTTTTCAAAGTAAACACTAGCTGTGGGGCTGTTGTGATACACTTCCTTTTCTTTTGTCTCCCTTCTCCCACTTTTTGACTTCTCATACTGGATCTTTCTAGTTTAATTTGGATTCTTCTCCCAAGAGATTCATCACAGCATTGGGGACATCCCATGAACCCTCATGTGTCTCAAGATGGGGGACTTCTTCTATTCCCCAAGAAGAAACTGGTGATCTGAGGCCTGCACTTCCCCTTCTCTATTTCTACTGCTCTTTTTAGATCAGTCAGCTATCTCTGTGGAGATCACCCACTGTGGGAGTGAACTTTTCTGTTCTAAAGGCCATTCAGAGAACCACCATCCATTTCCCTGTTTTCTTTCTTCACAGCTGCTACTACCGTGGTCTAGTAGTTTGTTACCATTTGCTAGTGGGGACATGTTGTAGTTTAATATTCTTGTAGATACTTTTAAGGTAATTTTAATTACTTTCTCTATATGTCTAAAGGATATCAGTTATATTTAAAATGTTATGCCGAGAATCTGAGCAAACTTCAAAAGTAGAGCTGGGTGTGATACTACACCCTTGTAACCCTCATACTTGAGGCAGGACAATTGTGAGGATTGTGAAATTAGCTTGGGTTATACAGCAAGTACCAAGTCATCCAGGGTGGCATAGAAAGACCAAAACGCCAAGTAATAAATAAGAGTTAGTAATAATTATATACTAACTGTATATTTGGGTAATCATTAAAATATTATTAACATATGTATTCATTCTGTAAACATCATAGATAAACTAGATTACTAGGTTTAAATTATATTTAAGCAGAACAGTTAAAATCATTTTAGAAATAAAATTAAAAAGTGCTATGCAATGTGTTAGAATTTTGATGCTTACACAAGTGTAACTCCATTTGGAAATATGGTGATTAAATTTCTTTAAAATTAATGGACAAGGATATTCTAAAAAATACAAGGTTAGAATAATATAGATGACGCTTCTTATCTGTAGATTCCATAAGTACAACTTCAGATAAGGAAGATTTGGAAACAAATTGCATGTATACTGAACATGCACCTTTTCTTAACCCTACCATTAAAAACATAACATAAAACTCTGCACGCCTTTCCATTATATTTGTTGTAAGTTTTCTAGGGTATGCTTGGGTCATATGAAACTTGAGGGCTTAAGGATTTTCTCCTGAGACCAAAGCCCTACAGAAGAAGAGAGAAAAGGTTTCTAGAGAAGTAAACGTTTGTGTTTAATGTGAGTGTATGACACCATAGGCTCATCAGAACCAATAGGGTGTACATCACATGAACCCTACAGCAAGCTGTGGACCTGTGCATGTAGGCTTATATATTATGACAAACGCACTACTCATGTACGATGCTGATGCAGAAGAGCTTCGTGTGTAAATGTGAGAACTACTTGTACACAGAATTGTCGGGATTTGCTGCTCACTTTTGCTGTGAACCTCAAGCTGCTGTGAGGAAAAAAGCAAGTCCTGATGAATTTTAAAATACAAATAGAAGCTAGGTTATAAGACTTCATATTCTTTCTAATGAGGATGTGGAGCCTGAAGACAAATGGACCTATTTGGGGTTAAAGCAAAAGAGCACATCAAATTCTAAGCTGGATTGTCAAATGATCTCTCTGAGTTTTCAGTGATGAGCCATTCCCCAGGCTTCTCCTGGCTCAGTTTTGCCATTTAAACTATGTGGACCGCAGTGAGGTTCTGCCTCATTACTTCATAGGTGTCTTGAAGATAGATGAATTTCTATTCTAAACTGTTTTTGTCTGTTTGACAAAATGTACCTTATATGCCAAGATCCATGCATCTTCCACCTTATGTTTTGTTCCAGTTACACAAGAGGAACACAACTATACAATAGAAACAGAGACGAATTGGACTCTGGAAATACCATGCTTTCAAAATACCTCCTCAGAAATTTCACCTGGGTTCACCTTTTCATGGTTGGTGGTAAGTGTTGCCCTTTTCAGTGAATAACTGTAATGATCTTTAAATATTAATGAGTTGAAATGAATAGCAAGCAATAATAGAGAAACACTTGATGAGACACAGGCATTATGCCAGTGGCTGGGGAAAGACTGGGGAAGGAAGGAAAGGGCACAGGGGTGTCTTCCAGCTAGACAAGCAGCGATGCATGCGGTGGAACTCTGAAATTAGCTGTTAGAGGTTGATTTCTGTTTCAAATTATAAACCAGACCGTGACTGCGGAGAAAACCAAGGAGTGATGCTGCCCTGGGGAAAAGTCACATACAGAAGTCTCTAGTCACTAATATTTGTTTTACAAATAACATATGTAGAGAAATAGACTTCTTTTCCCAGAACTTGCATTGCCATAATCTTGCATTGCTTTAATCGAGAAATGCAAAACCTGATGTTTATGAAATACAAGAAGAGGATGGAGTGATGGCTCAGCAGTTAGGAAAGCTCACTGCTCTATCAGAGGATACTGAAAGACAAACAAGGGATTCATTGTTGCCCCCCCCCGACCTCCACAGGTGCCTGCACACACACACACACACACACACACATAGAGAAACACACACACAGGCAAACACACACATGAATTGTACATGGGAGAAACGGGCTCTGCGGAAGCACATCGCTGTTCGGTTCTGTTGCTGAATCGGGCTCTAGGCCAATAGTAACCACAACCTTTAAAAACCACTACAAATGGCCAGAATAGGGACTTTCAAAAGTTGCATTTATTTATTTATGAAGTTATGCACCACGACATGTATGGAGGTCAGAGGACAACTTTCAGGACTCAGTTCTCTTCGTCCAACTCGTAGTCCCAAGAATAGAACTCAAATCACCTTTTCACCATCCTCATGTTAAATTGATGGTCACCAAATTCATGCTGTTTGGTTGGCTCATTAGTGCCAGCTCATTAGGGGTCAAATACTAGATGAATGATAAGTCTCCTTTATGTAGTAGTATCCTTCAAGGAAACTTGGAAGGTGGTAGAGACATTTCCTATGGATCCCATCAGGACATTTAGAATAAATGAGGGCTGGAGAGAGTGCAGGGGGCAGGGTAAGTCTTGAGCCTCAGCAGACTCTCACACCACACTGTCATTTAAAGACTGGATTGTAATATAGACAAATAGAGAGATCCCCATGAAAGAATCCTTCCTTCAAAGGGAATAATGGATTGGCAATGAGCTGATTAAATTCCTGCTGTGCGTTCTCTTTTTAAATGTCAAAATCTGTTTGCTTCACGGACTTTCAGCCCTGTCCTAACTACTGATGGCTCTAGGATTGACTAAGACTGGTGTGAAAACATCTAATGTCCCTGTATTAGGAAACAGAGAAAGCCTCCCCCCCCCCCCCCCCCCCCGCCATCATTGCTGTATGTCTGCAGAGGTCATGCAGATTCTTACAAACAGGAAGTAATGTGGCTTTAAGTAAAAGGCTAAGGAGCAGAAATGATGAAGATAAGCTCAGCAGGGCAGAAACCTGCTGTGCTGAGCCCAGAAACCCTGGGAAACTGCAAAGGCCTCCCGTCCTGAGTATTTCATTAAACCCCGGGAACATTTCTATAGACAAACATTATCCAAGTCTCCAGAAAATAAAAGTCATGTTGTCACGTATGTGGAATTATAAAATCTAATTAAGTCAGTTGTGAGTCTCATGGGGAAAGTTATTATTAAGATTCTCAATATCATTGTAAAAAATGCATTTGGTATGTGGACCTGGTCTCATGGCAGCTGTGTTAAATGGAGCTGATCCTTTGTTTGGGAGGAGTTATATTCAAGGCTGTACTAACTGAAGTCAACGGGCATCAGACACAAACACAGGGCATCTAATGTTCAGTTGCCACAAGATAATTCGGATACCTAAGAAAATACAAAAGGCCAGCTTGTGAGCAACCACGTGAATGGTGGAGTGCTAAATAAGAAATTGAGGGCTTTGTGGGTTTAGTTGGGAAATGGGTTGGTAGATAAACAGCAAGTGCTAGTTTTGCTATTTAATTCCTAGGACACACACCAGCATCAGGGAAATTCTTCAGGCTTATTCTGGGAGTTTCTAAGTACATTCTAATATTCTGTTTTCATTACAAACTAACATCCTGTGATTTCCCACAGTATAAATTTTAATTCAATCCAATAAACAGATGTGAATCTGATTTGAGTGCTGGGTTTTCTACAGGGATACAAAATTATATTAGATATATTTTCTATCATGCCATATATTTATAATAAAATGTAAAAAAAATAGTAGTACTCAGGGAAAATAATTTTCCAGATAAATCCAGAAAAGCTTTTTGAAGAGTTATGTTTGAGCCATATAATTAAAGACACTTAATAGCAAAAGACAGACATATGCTATAACAAGGCCCTGGGACTTATACAGACAAATTAGTAGTATATCCCACGGAATGTCTTAAGGAAATATTTGCTCTCACAGTCAGTGAACTAAATAGAGATCCTTCACCACTGTTTATGAACTCACAGTGGCTTGTTCTCACCTGCATAAGACTTGTACAAGACCAAAGCGGTTGACATTCTGGCGTGGAGGAGGAGGTGCTCAGAATCCTATACCCCTGACTGAAGACCTTTGGATGGGTAATGGCTTCTGTGGGGATGGAGAATCAGTTTTCTTGAGAAGTGTGGATCCTGGTGGCTCTACCACAATCAAATGATGACCCCACACCCAGTAATACACAAGTAGCACAAGTTGCACTCAATGGATTATTTTTAAAAACAGAGGGGGAGGGACGCAATGTTCGGAGGATGTATCCAGGGTGAGTGTGGGTCTGGGACCAGTTAGGGAGTGGAGGCATGGTGAATATGGTCAAAATACATCCTGTGAAATCTTCAAAATAATAGAAATATATTTAAACATAAAAAACAGTTTTGATCGTACTGCACGTACTGACTTTGTGGGAGCCTAGGCAGTTTGGATGCTCACCTTACTAGACCTGGATGGAGGTGGGTGGTCCTTGGACTTCCCACAGGGCAGGGAACCCTGATTGCTTTTTGGGCTGAGGAGGGAGGAGGACTTGATTGGGGGAGGGGGAGGGAAATGGGAGGCGGTGGCGGGGAAGAGACAGAAATCTTAAATAAATAAATAAACACAAACAGAAAGAGGCCTATCTCAATACTTATTATACCCATCGGTTAGTACAGCTTTCACCTCTCATCAGAGAGACTTCCTTTTGCCACAGGCACACACAACTAGCACCAAGTCTAAGTGACTATGGAGTGTTCTGCCATAGACAGGGCATCTCTATCATGCCAACTCCCCACAAGCTCTGGGAGCATTATGGAATAAAGGCAGCAAGAGAATAAAAGCCAGCGGTTAAGAAGACTTCTGTGAAATAGTATCCTGTCCTCTGGGTGTGGCAGGACAGGGCCATCGTACCCATGAACTCACAATAGTTACAGGTATCTACACAGACTTCCACAAGATCAGTCCAGTTAATAGTCCAGCTAAGAACCAGGAAGAGGTTCATGAGGCCCACCTCAAACTGAAGAACTATTGACAGTTGATGAGATGGCTTTCTTCAGAGATGTCCCTAGTAGGTTGCCAAGGTTCTAGAGGACAGTCCTAAACCCATGCAGATATAGGTAGCTCTAGACTTAGAGAGTGATGAAGAGTGAGAAGAAGAGGAAGAGGAGGAAGAAGAGGGGGCAGGATGGAGGAGGAAGAGCCGATGGGGGAGCCAAGAGGAAGAGGAGGGAAAGGCAAGTAGATCACTTTATGGTCAAAATAAAAACTATACATGTATGAAATTCTCAAAGAACAAACAAAATGTTAAAAGATCTTCATATTTTTTCTTTTAAATCATGAAGTGGAGAACAGGATACAACATTTAAATCACTCGATATTCATGGTAATGTCACATAAGTACTAGATGCTTACATTGTTTAAAATTTTTATCACATTTTTATTTGTGCTGTTTTATAATCAGGCAAGAAGCAATGGTTTCAAAAGAACGTATAAAGCCTTGAGATGTAGAAACAGCATCAGAGTCAGTTAGTGGCAGCTGACTATCACTGTCTTGGCTGTTACCAAAATACTAAGTACCCGACAAACTACAAAAGGTTAACAAGTAATGGTGGTTAGATATAAATTGGTCCAGCGCCGCTGGAAATGAGTGTGAGGAGTTCGGCAAGCAGCCTGCATTGACAGTGCTGGCAGGGTGGAGAATACTTGGAGAAAATGTGAAGACGCAAAGCAGATTGGAGACAGAGAAGCAGGGATCAATACAGCCAGCAACAACTGTGGAAGAGCTCAGAGCACCCAACACCTGCTGTGCACTGTGCACAACGCAGCCAGGGCCAACTCAGAGCTGGCTCCAGGCAACTGAAGCCAGTCAGAGACAAGACAGAACCACTAAATCAAATAGTGCCCATGTCCCCTACAAAACTGGAAAGTCTGATCCCAGTACAAAAACACGGGCGGCTCAATGGATGAGTTTTATCATGAGTTGTGCTTGAGATGCACATGGCAGCAATTTTTCATAAATCAATATGACCTATCCAATCCCTATCACACTAATTTTGTTAAAACAAACAATTCTACATAATTTAATAACACATTCATGTACCTTCTTGGAGCCTCGATTTGTAACTTTTTCTGATGAAGCATTCATCTCAAATAACTACAGACAGATAAGGCAAAAACAACCCTCTGCTTCTTGTGAGGCTGTATGTAACAAAGTCACTAACAACATGGCCTTTGGGAGAAAACGGTATGTGCAAGTCCTTACTGGCTGGGCTGTGAAACCAAAGGGCTCAATTTACAGTGAGATGAGGAAGATCCTTATCAATGAAAGCAGCATTCAGAAGAGCAGCAAAAAACAATAATCAAGATAAATATTTTAATACAATATTTTCAAAATATATAAAGAAAACCCATGATGAACAAAGTATCTAACTTTTAAATAAAGCCCCATGGTTGATTATTTGTTATGAAACCACATTTTATGTGCATCATACATTATAT